CCTACCTAGTGGAGCGTTATCGTATGGAGAAAAAAATTGCCTGGGGCCTCACCAATAGGGAACCCCAAACCAATTTTTTATAACATCATTACTGTAGTAAGAATATCAAAATTTAATTTTGAGCCTTATCTGGGGCGTAGATTGCCAGTGTGACGCAAGCGCAGCATAGATCTTAAAGAAAATATCACCAAAAGCGTATGATAACTATATTATGAATTTAATAAATACTTATTTAGACGACATCGATGTTACTATTTTTGAGAAAGAATTAATAGTTTATACAATTTTCAAAGAAAAAGAAAATTTAAATTCTTTATCGATGCGGAGTACAAAGCAATTTAAGGAGAACTACTTTCTACTTTTCCTAATATTGATAATTTTAAAAATATGTTTGTCAATTCCTGTTTTCAACGCGATTGTTCAACATCTTAAAAAAATTAAAATAGTAGAAATTCAATTGGACACGTAGCAATGCGTTAGCAACGGGGCAAGTGCCACTGGCGCGAGGTGTAAGGGGCGCCTCAATATAAACTCATATATTGAGTTTGTGCCAAAGCGATTAGATGTCGAAAAATATCAATATCTACGAAGAAACGATTTTCTTTCTTTCTGAGACGAAACGATAGACCAAAACTTAATTTTTCAGGGGGATACATTAAACATATTCTATAATAACTTGGCTTGTCAAAAATAATATTTCTGTTCTTCAATGGCCAGCTTGTTGCCCTGACATAAACCTTATAGATTCTCTATAGAATGACTTGTAAGGATGATATATGCTAACAGATAACAATACGATAACATTTCCAATTTGAAAACTGCAGTATTAAGAGTTTTGACGAATTATTTGTATGATTACCAGGGCCGTTCCTGGGTTGTTGGTCACCCAGATGCAAGAATAATATTGCCATCCTTATTAATTTAATATCATCTAATTAAGAATTTCATACATAAACAATTAATAATCATCAAAATGTTTCGTTTATTATTCTTATTAGGCAAAATTCTACATATAGTCCCAACGAGTTAGAATATCCCAGCTCATTGTTTTTACACAACAGACGTGCTACGCCCTTTGACTAAAAGAAAAATGGCGGACGTATATTCAATTTTCTTCATGACGTCGCTTCAACCACTCTATGTAGTATATTCTAGTTCGTTATATAGACCTAATAAACGGTCTGTGGTAGCTCTGGATTTGGCTGCCAGGGGCTCTACCCTACTAAGTGAGAATTGTGGAACGACATTTGGTGACATCATGGTCAACTGAACTCACTGTTGTAAGTTGAAGTCGAACATCAACTGGTTCTCGAGTCCTCTCGGCGACAGAAATAGCAACCACTTTATAAAGTTGTTGATTTCAGGCTAAACAAGTTTTGCATCTATTTAGCCAGTAAGAAAGTGTGGTAAAAAGTGGGTGAATTCAACACGTGCATGTGAAACTGTTTAGTAACATGGTGGCGAAGCGAGTAAGGCAAGGCATCTCGAACTAACGATTAATTTTTTGAACGAACATAAAAATATGATTTGCAAAACTTGATGTCTCATTTACAGTAAAATATAGGCAAAAACTATGGAAAGGATTTCACTATTTTACTGAATGCCGATAGTATGGTCCTTCTAAAACCGTAGATAAATAATGTAGAAAAGTAAAGATATATTTGTTTGTTTTAAATGATAACTAAACAATGTAATCAGCAGTTTTAATAATGGATTGGCTTATTATAGGAAAATTAATATTATTTGTTATCAAGGACTTTAAACTGTAGTTTAAAGTCCTTGATTTGTTATATTAGGTTTGTATTATATTTACTTATAGTGTTGTAGATCAGTAAAAATGTAACTCATTGGAAAATTATATTAATACTAGTTAAAATTAAACTAATGAGTCTCCAATGTTTGTATATTAATGTTTTATCTCATTAGCCAGCCTCCCTATTTTTGACTTGGCGATATGCCTAGAAAAAGTGTCTCTTAAGACAGGGTTTAACTTATGCTTCAGGAAAGGTAAAACGGTTAAAACTGTCCCGGATAAGCGCAGCAGAATATCTTTCCATTGATTTCCGTTGAAACGGTTTCTGTTTCATAAATTTTTCCCAGAAGTCCTTTAGTGCATCGTCATGATTGCCAAAAATGGATTATAAAATTCAGAAAGCACTTGCTTTTTATTACGTTACGTTAACAGCGCATTAATTGAGATACGAAAATTATCAACCGAAAGCAAACTCATTCGAGGATGTTTACCACGTCAGAGAAGTCTTTAGTCAGCTTAAAATGTATTATCTGGAAGTAAGCGGGGCTTTGTAATCTGCAATTGTAAAAGATACTACATCGATTAAAAATGCAAATGTTTAAAAGTTATCAACTGTAATTCTAAATGTCATTCTAACAGTCAAATACATCCCAGAGACAACCTACCAGTGTTTGGTGTTTTATGTACTTGGCCATTGATAGATTTATGCGTACCGAAGTTTTAAACTTCGAATAACGATTTTCAAAGAAATAAAACGGATATAATTTTAAATGGGATGATTGAAAAAGACAAGTTATAAATCGAAATCATGTGATATATTACGTGCAAGATGATTTCTGCTGACATGCCACTTTAGGCACGCGTACCATTGGTGCGGCCCTAATCTAGTACAAAGAAGAATTCTTCTCGCGATAAACAGTAAAAATCTTTTAAATATCAACTTGTTCATATTTGCAATCAGATTGAGATAAAAGGAGATCAGCAGGACCATTGAGATGAGGGCATCAAAATTTAGTCTTTAATTTATCATTTTTATATCGTTTTACTAAATTTCTTTTGGCATAAAATTACAAATATATGAAATATATGGAAATAATGGGTCCCCACATTTATAAGTCGCCTGCTCCCTTGTCTCGGCCACTTATAAATGAGTTCAGTTATGAATACAAATGAGAGGTTTTATTCATTTGCTTACCGGTGGCCGAATGAATAAAACCTCTGATGGTCGTGGTTTACGCCTGGCCAAAGGGCTATCCAAGTGAAGTTTTCCGGGTTTTCTTCACGTTAATACCTAAATAGGGATCAGTTTTCCATAAACATCCTCCCAGAAGGCATCCCCCTCGGCAAACCGCATGTGTCGCGTTGCAGTAACCAAGATTGTTCTTTATGTATTAATACAACGAGCTAGAATATACTTCATAGACTGGCTGTGATCATCAATAGAGTGGCTGGTTACAGCACTCTTGGTGGTAACAACGGGTACTGTCAACGAGTTAGAATATTCCAGCTCGTTGTCTTTA